GTTCCTCCAATGTTTCTCTTACATGATCTCAAGTTGGTTGGTAGTACAGGTTGAAAGTCCTACAGAACTCCAAACTTTAAATGCTTTTCAGATTCAATTTATCGGAATTAAATACGTGCTCCGGATTTTTCATAAGGTGACCCCAGAGGAGGCGGAAGAGGAAAAACGGTACTAATTAGCCCACAGACCTTGTTCATGGCAAGCAACATTTAGAACAAGAAGCGCCGTTTTGAAAGCTTATGAAGAATTGGAACCTATGAGGTTTTGTGCGAATTCAGCGAGAAAGCCAACATTTTCAGCTTTGCCGAAAAATCGTGTTTATTTTGGTTTCTTGTAACGATCGGTTTATGGATATCATGCGATCCGAAGGTGGTACCCGGATGGGTTAATCTATTCGAAAAGTGAGAAAACACTTCTTTGATAGTCTTTGATGTTTAGGGGTATGCCTCAGATGCGTTGGCTGGTATAATGATAGCCGTTATTATGTTCGTATGGCCAAAGCGGAAGCCGAGGTTTATTGACCAAGGGTTCTCAAGGGAGGAATCTTATAGTGAAAACAGTATGTTGCCAAAATTCGTTCAAAAACGCTTTTAAAATGTCAGTTTTGTTTGTCGGTACTTTACTTGATTGGTCACTTCTTGCTCTTGCTGAGGTTTCAATGGTCTATCATTTTATTGCTGGGCGCGGGATTTGCTATAAGTCTGAGCGCCAAAGTAAGTTTGGACAATTAAAATTTAAATGGAGATTTCAATAAGGATGTCGAAATTTTAGATGTCAGGTCTCGCAAGTTGGATTGCATGCCAGATCGACAATAATTTGATCCATTTACCGCTGGTCTGGATGCAGGTAAACATTTTTAATATGGAAATGATAATATTATTTCCAGGTTATAATTTCAATACTTGTGGTGACGATGACTGAATTTTCGACGAATACTTCGACAGCCAGTATTTTTATCCCGATTGCCTTCAATGTGGTATCGTTTTTGGCTTAAAGACTACCAGAACGATGGAACGCGCACTGTCACCCCGAGGGTGCTACCCCCAAGAACGCGCAGAGAGAGGCGTCATTAGTGGTGCCCCGTATTGGTCAAAGGCCCTCTGGGGTTTGGGGCGCCTCTGACTCCCTTCCCCCACTTTGGCCTGTAGTACTAAGCGGCTAGCGCGCGTCGGACTGTGGAGCGAACCATCGCGGGTTCGACCCCCGACCGGTGCGCAACTTTCTTGCTCTAAACGATATTTCATCGTTCTGACGGTCTTTAACTAGTTTAAAGCCTATTTAGGCTGAAAAGGTGGGCGCCCATCCGCTATACTTTGCTATACCATGCGCTATCGGACCTTCATTTTCTTTTATGCTTCCAAATTGGCTGCTTCTTCAAATGCAATTGTTTTTATGAAACGAAAACTATTAGTGTAATGGATATGGTAAGTAATTTAATTTGCTTAACAATAGCTTGTCCATCTCTTAATCTAAAAATCATTTTTGAGGCTTCATGTGGAATCTTCCTCAACATCTTTTGCATCTTCTTCACAGTGCTAAATATGAATACATGGGCTGCATGGATATTTGACCTGCACACCTATCCGTCCTATGCACCCATCTATGCAGCAAACACCACTAATACCTGTTTATAGTTAATAAAAAGGAATTTATCACCTGAAACACGATATCCAATACATTCAGCCCAAATATTCGGGAAATACGGCCATTTCGAACAGTTTTCAAACCAAAAAAATTCAAAAAATGTTGCCTGTCTCGCAGTTTCAAACGATTTCCATCCTGCCCAAATTGTTCCATTGAATTCGAACGCCGTGACTAAACACTATAACAAAGTACATTCAGTGACGATTCACACCAAAACTTCAGCCTCGAAAGATCAGCGCTTTCCCCTTATCTCAACCATTTCCCCCAAATTTGGCTACCTGCTGAAATCACTGCCGAAGCGCACCCGTCAAAAATGCTGCAGTTTTTTGGTGCTCGCCACTTTGTAGGTTGAACGCATTACTCTTTACTAGGACTTTTAGATTCTTGTAATTACCACAATGTGCCTAACAATGATCCTGTCAAATATGTCGACCTATAATTTTACGAAAATCTTGTGGCCTAACGATACTTCGTCCAGCCATCATCGGCAGGACTATACAAAACAACAGAAAAAGTATGGCTTTTGGAGTTTTAAAAAGTAGATTTTCATTTTTAGCCTATTACAGTCTTTTGTTGCCGTCGGGACGTTAGTTGGCGGTGTGCCATACGTTTATTTATTTTCTAAATATTCGCACAGATATCTATTCTTATCAGCGGGTGTTAAGCCGGCTGGTGAGTTCTCTAATGATGAGAAAACTTTCAAATATAAGTTGATAACTTGAACAATATATTTTATATTGCCTCAAAAATTTTAATATTGAATAAAAATGAAGAATTTTAGTCTCGACGGCCCTTATTCCCCTAGCCAATCAAGCTGGTTTTGGCTATTTTCTCACTGCTCGCATAATTCAGGTATCAAAATATAACTTGGATACTAGCAATGTGGTTTTAGGGTGTTGCCTTTGCTGCTACTTCCCCTTTGATAGGTGCCATGACAGCTATTTGGGCACCATTAGGGTACGGTATCACAACAAAGATGTTATTTTTTAGTGAACATGGTCTTTTCCTGGCCTTATGCACCGGTTTTACACAGTTGAGCAATATTTTCACAATGCCTGTATCTGGTGGGTCCAATCAAAGTAATTATTGAACCTTAGCTTCTAGGTGCATTATGCTCATCAAGTTGGGGCTGGCCAGCCGTTTATTACGTTCATGCCATCGTTGCCGCTGTTTGCTTCACATTGTTTTTCATTTTTTACAGGTAAGCAGATCGGTTTTTTCGATATTCATTTTAGAGACCATCCAAATATTCATCCATTTGTTCGCCCAGTTGAATTAGAGCGGATTCAAGCTAATAAGAAAAATCAGGCAACCTTATCAAGCCCCAACCAATAGAATATTGTTTAGGAAAAAGCTTCAAAAGTTCCATACAAATCCATCATGACCTCAATAGTAATCTGGGGAGTGTGGATTGCCGCGTTGGGAGATCTGCTCTCCGTACAGCTTGTAACAATGTTCAACCCACAGTATATGAAAGACTATTTAAAATATGATATATTGAATACAGGTCAGTCAAGGTAGTTTTAAAATTTTTTTGGATGTTTTAGGTTTCATGGCAGCATTGCCCGTAATCGTTCAATTTGCAGTAAAATTGATTTCCGGGATCTTGTCCGATTCCTTGGTGTAAGTCTAAATTTTTTATGTGTCAATTTTTGTTTTAGGTGCCTGTCCGAAACCTTAAAAGTTAAAGTATTCAACACCTGCGCATTGGGGGTATCGGGCTTGACGTTTATTTTGCTGGCATTTATCGACAATACGCATCCGAGTATGAATATTATAATTTTGGTAGGTATTTAAATTCCATAGACCGTACGGTAATTATTATTTTTTCGCCTTCAGGTATTCACTGAAAGTATGATCGGTTTTAACACAGCTGGCTTTAATAAATGTGCTACCCTCCATTCACGACAATACAGTCATTTTGTAATGACACAGGTGAGATTACCTCATTATCGCCCCAGATTACCCATTTTAGATCATCAACATTTGGGCCCTATGTATCCTCGTAGAACCCTTTATTGTCACCCCAATCCTAGGAGAAGCGGGGTAGTCAAGAACGAGAAAGCTAAAAATTCCCCTTTTAGTTACGGCGGGTGGAGGAATGTATTTCTATTGCATTCGGCAATTCTGATCGGGACAAATCTGGTGTTTTGTTTGGTAGCCGATGCAAGCCCGGCTCAGTGGACTGTGCAACGTGGTGGGGAAGAAGTTAAAGAAGATAAGAGTGAGATGGTTGAGATACCTTTGTGAGTGGATGTTGTGATATGGTGCTTGGAAATGAACATAATGACGTCTGGGTACTAGAGCATCCATATATTCATATATATGGATGCTCTAGTACCACCTAAAACAAAGATATTTGAAAACTGATTTGTCTATTTTTTAATGAAGAGCCTCATGAATCTCTCACT